GGAACCATATAAAGATCAGAAACTAGTCTGGCCCTGAAGGCTCCCTCTGACTTGGTAATTCCACTTGGTTGAATCCTGGCCATTCGGATGAGACCATATAAAGAGGCCGTTTCCTGAATTTCCCGCTCTCTGCCTGTCACAGGATCCTTTTTGTAGAAAGCTGGTATTTCAGGACTGCAACCTCCAGTCATGTGCTTCCCACTCTTTACTCACAGTTATTCCTGCCCCCTGTTTATTTTTGGAGGGAGCACATTTTTGCTTCTCCTCAGGAGCTATGCGGGGTCCTGCCCCCTCTGTCCATCAGGCTGCAGACCCGGCAGACTGTGCTCATTTCCCACACTCGAGACGTGACTCCAGCTTTCAGGAGAGAACACGAAGGATGCCCTGCCTCAGGGCTACCATCGCCATTCCTATTTCTGTCCCTCCCGGTGTTACACATTTTAAGACTCTTTTCTAAAAACAAGTTTGAGTAATGTTACCTGGCAGTAAATCTGCCAAAATTGGAAATTGTTTTCTCAGCAGATGCCTTAGGGCTGTGCCTCTGAATTTCCCAAGTAGAGCAATTTAAAGAACACACCAGCACTTTTGAATTTTAGGATCAGGCCTTCTCTTTTGGCTTTTTAAGATCATTTGAGTTCTACCCTCTCTCATCCATCCAAGTTTTTTTCTTTTTGTTCCTTCCTAACACAGGGATAGCAAACAGATTTCTTCCCAAGTCATAACTCAAACAGACTGGTTATTTCTTCCCAAGTGCTTGGCTAAGGTGGATTCTGGAACTGGTGTGTGCTCCATGAGAAAAGTGCCACAACGGTCTCAGCCTGCCTAAAGATTAAGTTTCTAGGTTCAAGGATGAAGCAAGAGTAAATTCCCTTTCTTTTAAATTCTCAGGCCATTACACGGAGAACTCAGAACACAGAGAACTTAGACACACAAGATCTGAGAAAAAATAAATCACATAGTCATGTCTTCTCTTGACCTATCTAGACCTGATGGGCAGGGGATGGAAGGCTCCCTGGCCCAAATGGGAGGATCCGTAACTAACGGTTACAACTTCTCACCACTGCAGGTGGACCGGGACTCTCACATTTGCCCTGGGGAGGGCATCCAGGCCCTGCCCCTCTCTGAAGTGCCCCAGCATCTGATCTATTATCACATGGGGAGGGGGTAGCACAGCAGTTCTGGCAGCTGGTCCTAAAAGGAGCAGCTTGACCTAGGAGTAATGTCTTGGCCTAGGCATATGTCCTGTGTTTCAGATCACCCTGGGGAGAGAGCCGTGGGCTCTTTGAAACAGGGCTAGATAGGTATTTAGATGTCATCATAGCTCTGAGGGAAAGCAGCCAGGCATTCAGAGGCTGAACTCTCCACCCAGGCCCTTTAAGTTATATTGCTAAAAGCCACTCATCCACCAACATTTCAAATAGATCATTTGCTCCTAAGTTCAAACTCTATTGCATTGTGTTTGAGTTACATCAGCTGCATTGTAAAGTAATGGATGCTGAGGAGCTCATCATACCCCCCCACCCCCCGCCAAAAGTTTTCCCAGGGACCCCTCCAATATGATGATCAGTGGACAGCATTTGCTACAGCCCGAGTGTTATATGCTATCTTGCACCTTCTATCTAGTTGCTTCTGGAATGCTTTCTTATCATCTCTGCGTATCTCTCCCATGTGGGGCGAGCGCCACTTTTCCCATACAGCTACTTGGACCGTTCCTTGTCCTCAGCTCTTCTCAAGTTTGTACAAGTGTGTTTAGCCTTCAGTTACGTATTACAGGTTTATTCATGTTAGAGCACACAGTCTTAGCCCCAGGAGAAAGTGGCCCAATAAAAACACCAAAAGTGACAAGAAAACTGCAGAATTCAGTGCGTCTACTCCGTGGCTGAGGAGTCCTCCTCAGTTTCACCTCTGGACCCTGAATGCAGCCTCTCCATGAAAGGACACTCAGTACCCCCGTCCCCGATACCTACCTCCAGCCTCCATTGTGGCCTCTTAAGTATTAAGCGATGTCCAATTACATTGATTCCAAACAGCCTTGATGTTGTTTGAAATCTGAATTCTGCCTCACTTCAGTGTCACTGAACTGGGGCAATATTTGAGGACAGGAATGAATCCTGCTTTTTCTAACTCACCTGGTGCACATAGGGCAGGCCCAGCTCCCCAGCAAGAGAACACAGTTGAACTCTGGGGAAGAGCCTTTATAACTTGGTAATAGTGGTTAGTTAAGTCTGTCTTATCCTAACAGGGTATTTGTATGTGGCCATAACAAGACTCAGGGCTGAGAGTATTTACAAAAGAAGTTTTTATGCTTGGACTTAGGGTTCTCAGTCATGAACATGAGAATTCCCCATCAGGAAAGAGACTTCTCCCACTAAATGCCCGACGCCTAACTTGTAGACAGTAAGTTCTGTCTGCCCTCCCATCTCCCAACTGCCTCGGCACTCTCTCCTGAGTTTGGCCAAGACTCCCGCTGGGGAGCAAGGAGGACAGCTATAATCCCACCTCGTATTGTGCAGAGAATTTCTCTGTAACTCTTCCTCTCTCAGGTGATCTCAGTGAAAAGTAGCTTACAGTTTTGCAACATATCCCACATCATGAAGTCTGGTCATTAGTGGAAAGAAAACCAAACACAAAACCTTTGATTTTGCAACTAGTTGTCAAATTCTGTTGGATGTGGAGGAGTGATTGTTATGTGGTGATCTTTTTGTTTTTGTCAATGTAAGAATTCCAGGCCTGTAGAGAATTTTTATAAGAATTTATTTGAGCCAAACCGATGACAATTGCCAGGAAGCAAGATCTCAGATGCTCCAGAGACTAACAGTTATGCAGTTTCTTTTATACATGTAGAATTAAGGAGGGAATGTAAGGAAGATTACATGAAGGTGGGAGAAAGCAGGTTACAGGATAGTTGAAAAGAGGGTGGTTAGCCTTTGAGTGGTCAGAAAACGGGATTACTTCTGGCATTTCATGACCTGCCCAGGTAGGAATTTGTAATCAATGCATCCTGTGAGGTTACTTTCTGTTAGTTTATTATAGCGCCCCCTTTCGCCCACATTTTGAAGCTGCTGTCCTAATTTAGCTTCTGGTACCATTTTGCAGTGGAAATAGTAAGAGAAAATGTGTCTTTGTATTGTTACCTCTAGGTGGGAAGGATTTCACTCATCCTCCCAATAGCCATGGCTTCCTTGGGTTTGTGGTTAAAAAGGATAAAGCGATCATTTTGGTTTTTTAAACTTTAGGAAATTTTATTAACTATATGATATCCATCATTAGTCAAAGTGACAGCTAAGGCCAGATTTAAAAGGGTCCTTTCCTCCGCCCCAACTTTTTAAATTTTAAAACAAAGCCACTGTGTGGCCAAACAAAACATGTGGCTACAAGTTTGAGACCTTTAGACTCAAGAATTCACATTATCACAAAATGGTTCTAATCTTGGGTAATGAAATATAGGTGTTATTTGCAAAAGCACATAGATGGTTTAAAGGCACATTGGTGTAAAAACATCTTGCTACGGTTCAGTTCAGTTCTCCTTAACATTTAAGTGTCCCCAACACAGTGCCTTACCAACGGTAAGAGCTCAACAAGACAAGGTTCTTGGTCTCTGCTTATACACAACTTTGGCTGGCGTGGTTTGGGTGATTCTGATTCCAGCTGGTCCTTGTAGTTCCAGTCTCAGCGCGGTCTGTACAGCCTAACCTCTGAGCCTCAATTCCAGATTCCTGGGACAGAAAATTCCATTGGTTCCAGTTGGGTCAGGCTAGTAGAAAGGTATTCTGGCATGTTGAGGGAGTGTTTTCTTAAAAAGTTATGTTAGCCCTTAAGCAACAGATTTAAAGGACGGGTAGTGACACGTTTCAGTTCAGGCGTTAGGAGACCACATCCTTCCTGCCCAATTTGGCCCGCAGCTTATTTTTGTAAAGTTTTATTGGGACACAGTTACACCCACTTGCTTACTTATTACCTGTGGTTGTTTATTGCCCTGCAGTATCAGAGTAGAAGAGTTGCAACAGAAACTGGAGGGCCCCCAAAATCAAAATATTTACCCCTACCCCTTCATAGAAAATGTTTCCCAACACTGTGTTAGTCCATTTACCTAAGTGTCTTCTTGGACTGAGAACAACAGTTATGGTTATGTGAAGTTCTTGGGGGGGGGGGGAGAAGGTATTAAAAAAATATCTAGGTAAATGCTGGCTAATTCAAAATAGGAACTGTTCTTTGCTGTTTTATCCCACTTTGGTGATTGAGTGGATTGCTTGATGGTCCTTTGAGATTTTTAGTTGAGATATGCTGAGCAAAAATAAGCCTCTCTCACATATTTATTTTATTACTTTATAAAAGTAGTATAAGTTGATTATTTAAAAATTTGGAAGATGCCCAATAGTACAAAGAAGGAACATAAAAATTTCCCATAATTCAGTCACTAAGTCCCCTTTCACCCATGTACTTAGAGCTAATTAACCTTAGATATTAGGTATTAACAATCTTTTCACAAAATCAGAAGCATATGCCTACTGTTTTACATGTTTTTGAAAGTTAATGTATAATGAACCTTCTAATATCATTAAGTATTCTTTTTTAACATAGTTTTTTTTATTGCACAGTATTTTCACATGTGTATTTTGTGATTTACTTAATTCCTATTGCTGTCTATTTCAGTTGTTTCCAATTATGTATTCACTTTTCAAAAATGACATTGTATTTCTCTCTGATTATTTCTTTGGGATAAATTCCTTGGATTAGAATTGCTAGCTCAAACAGCATGAGCATTTATTTTTAAGGCTTTCAGTAGACATTGCCAGATTATCCTCCAGATCTTGCCAATTTATACCCACCAGAAGGGTATGAAAGCACCCAGATCTTTGTAGTGAATTGAAAGGTTACTGTATTTTTATTTGAAAGGTTTTGATAGATTGAGTGTTGGGTTAGGTGACCTTACCCTCAGCCATTGCTTGCTTGAATGAACATGTCGAGTGACTGTTATTTTGGCTTCTCTTTCCTTGTAGGATCCCCCTCCCAAACCACCCCGCCGCCGGCAAGGAGGCTGGGCCGATGATTCCATGAAGGCTTCCAAGTGAGTGCCAGCAGCTCGCGGGAGGTGAGGGTGCGCAGGGCGGGTTTGGGCATTTTGCTCCTATGTTGTTCTTTTCTTTTTTTATAGCAGCTTTATTGAGATGCATTCACGTACCTTACAGTCCACCCATTTCAAATGTACAATTCAGTCATTCTTAGTGTAGTCACAGAGTTGTACTGTCATCACCACATTTTTATTACCCCCCAAAGAAACCCATACACATAAGCAGTCACTTCCCATGTCCTCCCAACCTCCCTAGCCCTAGACAACCACTAATCTGCTTTCTGTCTCTATGATTTGCCTGTTCTGGACATGTCATATAAATGGAATCATATATTATGTGGTCTTTTGTGACTGGCTTCTTTCACTTGGCATAATGTTTTCAAAGTTGACCCATATTGTAGCATTCAGTGTTGTTCTTAGTGTAATTTTCTAAACAGAATGGAGTTGCCTGTTAGTAACTGCTAGATTACAAATCATTTTGGTCTTTAATACTTTGCACTAAGTTTTAGATGAAAGGGAAACCAAAAAAGTGTTTATTACACCAGTGGGCTGGCCAACTATCCATTTTAACAACTTAAGATATACTCAGGAAGATATTTTTTTTTCTCAAAGAATATACATTACTCTTGGTCAGAATTTTCTTTAGCAGTTATTGCCTTCAAAATAGCACTATCAAAATTTTTTTTCCCAATTCTTTACACCTTCCTCTTCCCACCTCTAAACTAACTAACTAACTCTCTCTCTCTCTCTCTCTCTCTCTCTCTCTCTCTCACTCACTCTCACTTTTGCCCCCTGAATCATTTTGAAAACAAGTAGCAGTGCAGTCATCATGACATTTTGCCCCTAGAGACTTCAGCATGCATCGCTAAAGATGAAGGACATCCTCCAAATATCAGTGTCATTATCACACTAAGAAATTTCATAATGATTTAATATCTAGTTTAAACTTTCCCAGTTGTCCCAAAAAGGTCTTGTAGCTCCAGAATCCAATCAGGGGTCACACATTGTGTTTGGTAATTCTCTCTTTTAGTCTCTTGATCTAAAGTAACTCCAGCCTCCCCACCCCTCCTTCCCCCCGCCACCTTCACCCAAAACATTTTTTTTTTAAAGAATTCAGGCCAGCTTTCTTATAGAGTGTTTCACATTCACATTTCTCTGGTTGATTCCTCATGATAAGATCCAAGTTAATGCTTTTTCTCTCTCTAAATGTATTTTTATTGATTTTGGAGAGGAAGGGAGAGGGAGAGAATCATTGATTGGCTGCCTCCTGCATGCCCCCTACTGGGGATCGAGCCTGCAACCCCGACATGTGCCCTTGGCTGGAATTGGACCCGGGACCCTTCAGTCCGCAGACTGATGCTCTATCCACTGAGCAAAACCGGCAAGGGCAAGTTAATGCTTTGGGGCAAGAAAAAGTATTTGGTACTTTTTATTGTATCAAATGGTATAGAAAGATATACTCAGAGATGTCTTACTCCAATACTTCAAATAGTGCCAGTCCATAATAAGCACTCAATGACTATTTATTGAGCAAATGAATGATCAGACCAGTATTTCTGATTGATCATTTGGCTTTCAGTGGGAAGTAGAGTTCCAGAAGGCTGGCAGACCTCTTGGGAAGGTAACACTCTGTATGCAGGAAGGTAACACTCTGTATGGCAGTGGTGTGAGCATGGACAGGTGAGGAGATTTGTAGACATTTTAGAGGTAGAGTTAATAGAAGTGCCATTGGTTGAGTGCAGGGCAGAGGGAGGAGTTGAAGGTCACTGCGAGGTGCCTGTCTTTGAGGACTGGTTTCAGGGATGGGGAGCCTTTTTCCTGCCAAGGTGTGGGAAGAGCTCAGGAGATTTATCTCAGTGCAGTGGCAGATGCAATGGCGTGAGCACACTCCGCCTATACAAGCTTCCTTAGCACACCGGGAAGTGGCAGCGCCCACCTGAGCAAACCTCCTAGAGCCACTACATAGTACCCTGATCTTTCCTACCATTGGCTGCCCTAAGGATAGTGTAAACTTCTGATTGGTCCAGAATGTTATATATGTTGCTGCACTTACACAATAAACTTAGATCTGCGTCACTGAACCTGGTCTCCGGAGTCGGGCATGCTTCGTTAGGGCTCCGTCGTCTTCACCCCCGCGGGACCCCCTGCTTCACCAAGGGCCATTTGGATTTTTATAACATCATTCGCAGTCCATACAAAATTATGAACTTAAGAGTTAGCCTGCTATATGTGGTTAAACATTTAATTAACTCACCCTAATGTCTTGGCATGGCTAGACCAAATGATTCTTAGGCCTTGTATAGCCCAAGGGCCAGATGTCCCCCACCCCTGGGTTAGGTAGTGGTGTCGACTGATAGAGAATGCAGGAGGAGAGACCTGATTTGGGGCTGGTGGTGGTCCTGTATGTAGTTCCCATAGTTTGGGAGTCTAGAAGAGAGTGCAAAAAGGAGGTGCAATTTGAGTCATCTGTTACACAAATGGGAAAAGACAAAGATGGAACCTTGGATTTGGCTGTTTGGAGGCTACTAGGGGCATTGAGGAAGTGGTTACAGTGATTTGCTTTGGGGCAGAAGGCAGATTACAGTGAGGGAAGGGAAGTGGGACGTGAGGAAGTGGGGTTAGTAATATAGGCTACTGCTCTGAGAAGCAAAGGAAAGACAGTATTTGAAAAGGGAAGTCTGTGTTGTAAATCGGTGTGTAATATCTGGGGAAAGAGTGAGTCAGAGGAAATAGGGTGGATTTGAAGGAGTCTAGGATCATAAAGGAGGAATAAGGTTAAGACCTTCAAGAGAGACTAATTAACCTTGGACAGGAGGAGGTGGGAGAATTTTTCTTCTAGGACAGGAGAAAGCTTGGAAAGGCTGGATTATCAAGAAAGCTGGAGAGGAGTAGGGAATTTCATTTTGAATTGGCCTTTTTTTTCTTTTCCAAAGTAGGAAGGCAACTTGACTGTTGAACTTGTTGGAGCAAAGGAGAGCTGGCATCTGGAGGCAAGTAGAACAGATTAGAGAGAGAAAAAGGAAAGGGAGCGGACTCGGTAAGAGAGGCGATGGTTGGGCTCCATTGAGAATCTGCTCTGTGAAGGCTGGGAAACATGAGCTCCTGCTATGTGCAGGGTGCTCCAGGGAGTCCAGAGAGTAAATGTGCTTCCTGCCCTGCAAGAGCCTGGATTCCAGTTAGGGAGACCAGGCGTTTTCATTCACAAAAACCAGGAAGGCAGAAGGAGCACATGGTAAGTGAGAACTGAATGGAATGGCTGACACTGGTGATGTGGCCTCTAAGGAAAGTAATCACAGTGGTCAGGGAGCCCCGTGCAGAGGTGATGGACATCAAGCTGGGTGAATCTGATGGCCAAAGAGAATCATGAGGAGGGCATTTGGTTCAAGGATTGGTATAGACATAAGTGTTGCAGGGCAGTAACCTCATTGTCAGTCTGATTAGAGCAGAGGATTCACACTGAAAAGTAGTGTACTTAGCTTAAATTCTTGATAATAATGGCACTGTGTGAGGCACCTGTGCTCGCACAGGTGCTAGTTTGGGATGATAGTTTGGGCTCCTATTGCAGAATGCCATAGACTGGGCAGTTAAACAACAAACATCTATTTCTCACAGTTCTGAAGGCTGGTAGTCCGAGATGAGGGTGCTAGCATGGTCAGGTACTCGAAGAGGGCCCTCTCCCTGGCTTGTCCTCACACAGCCTTCTTTGGTGTGTGCACACACAGGGAGAGAGATCTTGTGTGTCTTCCTCATTGTATAAGAGTACTAGTTCCAGCATGGGGTCTCCACCCTCATGACCTCATCTAACCCAAACACCATCACATTCGGGATTAGGGGGAGCACAGATATTCATTCCACACTTTATATGTGCATCACACAAACTCTTGTTGGGTGGGTTCCATTCTGTACGGTAGGCATCCTTTTGCGAGGGAGGTAGGAGGAAAGTGAAGCTACAGTAGGAACTAGAAGGGCTCTTTACAGATCTGACTGAGGCCCTTAGCCATAGGATGTGAGTTTCCCGGATACCTTTGTTTGTTTGATGGATTGATTGATTTTAATTTATTGGGGTGACATTGGTTAATAAAATTATATAGGTTTCAGGTGTACAATTCTATAATACATCATCTGTATATTGTGTGTTCACCACCCCAAGTCAAGTCTCCTTCCATTACCAATTACCCCCCTTTTTTCCTTCTCCTACCTCCCCTACCCCTCTTTCCTTCTGGTAATCCTTATAATGTTGTCTTGGCTGTGAGGTGTGTTTTTTCTTAATTCCTTCGCCTTTTTCACCCAGCCCCCCCAAATCCCTTCTTTCTGACAGCTGTCAGTCTATTCTCTGTATCTATGAGTCTGTAGTTTATGTTGTTCATTAGATTCCACATATGAGTGAAATCGTGTGGTATTTGTCTTTCTCTGACTGGCTTATTTCACTCAGCATAGTACTCTCCAGGTCCATCATGCTCTCGCAAAAAGTTAGGATTAGGATTTTCTTCTTTTTCACTGCTGATACCTTTGGTTTATTTGCATAACACCACCCAAGATAGGGAACAGAGCATGGACTAGAGATGTTGGGTGCTAGAACTCAAGTGCTCACCCCTGAGCCACAGGAATAGGCTGTATTCAAGAACTGCCTGGGACCTGGGATCACAACCTGTCCCTTCTCCTGTCACCAAAGCCATTGCTGTGCCAAAGATTCCATCTTGGAGCCAGGCTTTCGTTGGCTCTGAAGTTGCCTAAAGTGGGGCACTGACTTGGCCATGGGGAAAGGAGCTAAAAGAGAGGCAACCAGACTTGGTAAAGAGAGGAAGGAAAGGTAGTCTGATTAAGTTTTGTCTCAAAGTGTCTGTTTTTGGGTTTGTCCCTGCATTGATCTGCAAGGGAATGAGGCAAGTAATGCCCCCTCAGGGACTTTCAGGACTTTGCTCTCAATGTCAGCCGTCATTTTCAATCACCCTCTCCCTCCCAGCCATTAATTTTGGCCCAGGATCATGGGGACTTGT